TGTTGACATTATCCTATTTAAAATTATGATTCATTTCAATATGATGGCAAGAAATAACAAATTTGTCAGTAGATTTATTAATATCAGAAGATTTTTTTATTTTTGTAATTCATTGCCTTTTCGTTTGTTCAACGCAAATCGCTTCACAGTCTTGGCAGCTAATCTTATACACATAACATTTATTCATTGTTTTTAAGAGATCTTTTTCCTGTTTTTATGAAAGTATTAAGCGAATTTATTTATTTATATATCAGATGAAAACCAAAATTATGTTACAATTTTAAACTTCTCTGAGACAAACGTAAACGTATGAAATCATGAAATAACTTTTTGGAATAACATTGTTTGACTTACGTCTATGGAATCACTTTTAAGAGCTATTCTTGAATGAATGAGCTATCCTTTTTATTTAATTATTAGGTGTACAACTTTGCTTCCGCCATTTTCCTATAGATGGCTTTAGCGGTAAGTGGTGGTCGAAATAAATAGATCATAGACGTCATACAATGAACTTGGGCATCTGTCAACATAACCTCATAGAAACATTAGTCGATTTGTGTTTGCATCATAAAGTTATTCTCGATTGAAAATGTCAGTTTACGAGCCAAATTCTCGTCATTTGCGGGAGGTTTTAATTTTTTGCTTCAATATGAAGAAATCTGCGGCTGAGGCTCATCGAATGGCTCTCAAATACTTATGGTGAAGCCGCTATTAGTGAAAGAACATGTCGTGAGTGGTTTCAACGCTTCAAAAACTATGATTTTGACGTCCAAGATCATGCTCTGTATTTGGTGGGACCAGCTCGGCGTAGTGTATTATGAACTGTTAAAGCCGACTGAAACAATCACAGGCGATCGGTATCGAACTCAATTGATGCGTTTGAGCCGAGCATTGAAAGACAAACGGCCACATTACAACGAGAGACACGATAAAGTGATTTTGCAGCATGACAATGCTCGACCCTATGTTGCAAAAGTGGTCAAGACATACTTGAAAACGTTGAAATGGGAAGTTCTACCCCACTCGCCGTATTCTCCAGACGTTGCTCCCTCTGACTATCACTTGTTTCGATCAATGGTACACGGCCTGGCTGACCAGCACTTCCGGTCTTATGAAGAAGTAAAAAATTAGATCGATTCGTGGATAGCCTCAAAAGATGACCAGTTTTTTCGACGCGGGATTCGTACGCTACCCGAAAGATGGGAGAAAGTAGTGGCCAGCGATGGACAATACTTTGAATCATAAATGTATAACCAGTTTTTTACATAAATAATAAAGCCTTGAATTTCGGAAGCAAAGTTGTACACCTAATATTATCAGTGGTGTTACAACCGGCAATGTAACATTTTTAATTATATGCGAGAATTGAAATTTAGTTATGTCTGCCGCGTCGCTGCCGTGTAAGGAGAAGTAGATGACGGCGTGATTGAAAGAGTGATGGATTGTTTATTAGAATAGAGATACGATCAATGTGGGGACGAATCTCAAGCTGAGCGGCAAATCGTGAGATTACAAGCGCCGGTGTATCGCATGCTACAGAATTCTTAGAGTATTTATTAGAATAGACTTGCTGAGAATTAATATTAATCATTCAAACTCTTTCATATTGAATTTTGATATATTTATGAAGATTAAGATGATGATGTCTAAATACAATTAGGTGTCTAATCATATTAGTACTAATTAGTTATCAGAATGTAAAGTTGACTCGACTTTTAGCATTCATTTTTTTGAAATCGAAACAGTAGTTTATTCAAATAATTCATGTTCATTTAGAAAAGAAATTTGAGCGCAAATGTGGTGTAACAGACAGCGCACTGGTCTGATATTTTAGAGATTCCGGGTTTGATCCCCGGCGGAACAATTTTCATACACTCGTAGTTTTTCTCAGAAGGCAATGGCAAACCACCGAGTAGTATACTTGCCCAGGAAACTTCCCTACCAAAAATTGCCATTCGGAATCGGCGTTTAAATTATAGAGCCTCATGTACGATCAGTGTGCAAAGATACATGAGAGAGAGAGTTCTACGCGCTGAGATAACGTATGGCACTTAAAGAAGAAGAAATAAGGAAATTTACATTAGAACCGAACAATTCAAGCGATTTTACCATTTCATATCAAAGGAGAAGAGAGGAATGGATCGAAAGAAAAGTAATTAGTGCGCTAAATATAATATTTTACTATAATAAATACAATTTTTATTGTTTACAACGTATCCTGCCAGAACACGATTACCGTCCAACTGTCGACGGGAATGTTGGAAATCTGATGGAATTATCGCGAAGATTTCTTCTGCGAAGAAGACTTTCAGAACCTGACGCGAGACGACCATTTGCAAATATTTAAATGAAAAGTCAACGTAAATTGACTGGAGGACGTATAGACGAAAAAACTGAGCAACTTCTACAAGTCAGCCCAGACAAAGGGGAACAACTGAGTAGCTTCTACAAATGCGATCAGCCTATTTGGGATGTAGGAGAAAAAAAAGAATGAGAGAAAATTGAAACTGTTCTTTTTCAAAAATTATATTGTTTTAGATATTCTAAGCTCGACATGTCCCGCTCCGGATTCAGAATTAATCTTCTGAGGACCCGCATGTTTTTTATTTTAAGGGCTTTTTTGTCAATGTCATAGGATTGAGCAGTAAAAAAAGTCATTATTGAGTCTTTAAAGGGTCTTTGGTCTTCCAAAAATTAAGAATAAATCCATACTGGATCGAAGAATGCTTTGATCTGCTCGATTTTCGCCGTATTTACATAGGCGTAAGTTGTTGGCGCTCGCGAGTCGGAAGGAAAGGGAGGTTCGATTTTCCAAAAATTGCCAAAGGGTATTGAACTTCCCATAGAAATATTGATTGTGCCAAATTGGAAAAATTAATGCATTTTTGAAAGATTGATTTTTTGTTCTTTAATAAAGTTTCAAAGTTATTAACTAATTTAATTCTCAAGTTTCGCTTTGTCTGAGCCGCTCTTTTCTCGGATCCTGATTGATCGGGCGCCTCGCATGAAACATGATCGCATGACTAATTCGCCTTTGTTCATATCTATTTCAGGTATTTATAAAATAATTCAATGGTAAACGATAACAATGGAACGAACTGAATAGAAATATAAATAATATAACATAGAATTGCAAAATAATAATTATATATATTCTTAGCCTTAGCAATCGAAATTTCATGGGAATTCGAGCGACGAGTGATACGCGCGTCGCGGGCCATGATTGATGCGCCATAACCGATATTTATTTTGAGCGAACAAAAGTTGAAATGCTTTAATCAAATTAATTTTTAGTGATTTTTATGTAGGATAGCAATGAGATAAGGGCCTCGGCTCGTGCGAACAATTTCCTCATCTCCGAATGGAGTTATCTCCTTCAATTTCGTTGTTCGGCATCACACACATTGGCACACGGCAGGCAAGTGACTTGATTGCTAGCCAATTGGTTGACGCCAATTGATTGACGTACGTGTTATGCTATACCGGCGTGATAGAGAGCAATACTACTATCCGAATAGGTTTTCGCTTGGAATATTCATGTAAATGTTCGAACTAGAATATTATATAGGTGATGTGAAACTAATTAACAAAAATAAATATAACGTAAAATGAGAGAGGGATAAAAAAAGAAATTTATATGGACGTAACAGTGGTAAAAATAAAATGTTATGGACAGCAATTATTTAATATTGATGTTAACCAAATTCTTATTTTTATTTTCTGTACAAAATTTGACTTCTGCATATCATTAAAATAATCAGGTAAATCAACTAAAAGGTAACGTAATATTTAATGAGGGTCACATTACAACTTGACACATACAAGAAAATGAAAATTATTACATACATTCAGTCAATTTGGTTTTTATAGAAGAAGATTTGACACAATAGTGTTTATAGAAGAAGATTTGACGCAATCGTGAAGAATTTAAGTATATACGTGTATAATGGTTAATTTTTTTTCAAAGATCCATAAAGAATGTTAATTTAATTTTTTCGAATATTATCGTTTAATATCTAGGCAATTTTATTATACTAATGATGATGATGATTGAATAACGTCGAAATGTCTGCATATTTTAAATATTGATAAATAGGTATCGCATCCAATGATGCGCTGTTATGAGAATTATTTCCACATGGGAATGTTTGTGCGTATGCATAAATTGCCATTACAGTTTCGTATTGGCTGTTTTCACATCGTATCAACATGCATGCGCATAAACATCTCGTACGGGAATAATTCCCAATAGTGCATCACTGATGTACTATCATTACATCTATGATATACTATCATCTTCTGCGTTTTGGTCTATATACTCTTTTAATGTTTATTATTTTCAGGATTGACAAAAGGGTTATTTTTCAGTTACTTTATCGTTACTTTCTATAGTAAACAATTTGATAACGATGTTGCAATTTTTTATGATGGTAACGCGAACTAATTAAACGTTAAGGTTGTGTTAAGGTTAAAAAAGTCACTTTGAAAAGTAATTTGTCATCATTACGCGTTATTTAAAAAAAGTAATAAGTAACGCGAGTAAAAAACTAACGCGTTATAAATGAATGGAAAAGGGGTTATTTATTTCAATGACTTTTTCAATCCACACATAAGTAACGATTAAACTCTGATGTTACTATTACCGTCATAAAAAATTCACAATGTCATTATCAAATCGTTATTATAATATGATAACGATCAACAAAGTAACGATGTTAACGCGTTACTACCAACCTTGATTATTTTTCAACACAATTCAAAGAGTCAATTATCATCATTATACTTGTTTATATTTATGATTTTATATCGTAATTTTTATGTTTTTAATATATTTTAATTTTCTTCAGTAAAAAGTGATTCTCTAGATGCAAAACATTTAATTTTTTTATACTACGTATTTTTGTTTGTTAATGGAAGTTTTTACAATCATTAATATTCATCATTACAATCATTAATATACAATCATTAATATAATATTAGTATATCGGTAACTATTTTAGAATTTACGTGATGGATTTAGTATTTGAATGGATCAAACAGAATGGAGGAGTCGAAGGTATGCAAAATTCTGCCAGAAACAAGAGTAACAAAATATATAATGTGATTGATGGATCAGAAGGATTTTATGTGTGTCCTGTAAAGTCAGATGTACGTAGTAAAATGAATATTCCATTCAGAATAAAAAATGGTGACGAGGAATTGGAAAAGAAGTTTCTTTTAGGTGCCACAGCTCGCGGTATGCTGCAGTTAAAAGGTCACAGGTCAGTAGAAAATATAATAATTAAAATAAAATCTCAATTATAATGGCAATAATTTATTATTATTGCAAAATTGTTTACCTTTTTGGAAGAAGGTAAAAAAAGCGCCAAGCATAGGCGCTTCTCAATAAATATAAGATGATACGGTATGGTATATTATATATTTTAATCCGGTGTCGAAGATCTTACTCCTTCGGTTACTCCTCCAATATCATACTCCTCCGATTATCCGAGCATATAAAGGCTGATTCAAAGATTCAGCATTGTCGGTGCTTGAAACATTATAATTTGCCCTGCCATCGATCGCATATTGATGGTCCAGCACCGTTTATAAAAAATTATAGCAAATGTCAACAACAAAAGATTGCGATTTTTTAAATCACGCGATAAACGCACTTCCGATCGAGTTGCATATCGCCGGATATCAATTTTGTGATCCAGGTACGCATTTAGAAAAGCGATTAGTTAGAGGCGATCGAGGTATTAATCCGTTGGACACGGCGTATCGCGAATACGACATAGTTTATTTACGGAACAAAGATCTCACGAAATATATAATAATTAGAATGCTTCAAAGAAATTTTATATAAAAAATTCGCAAGAAATGATTACTTTGGATAAAAAATTCTCAAATTATTCAATTTAATGTTCAAGCAAAAACCCAAAAAGTAGGATTGTTCAAGCAAAAACTTAAAATGTAGGATTTTTTTGCTTGGTTTTATTTGGATTAATAAAAAAAATAGTACGATATGAATCGCTCAAAAAAGTGTAAGTATTTAAGTATTTAAACTATC